CCTCCCTCCCCTCCTCTCAGAGAATCCCAGACTGGTTTGGGTGGGAGGGACCCCAGAGCCCCTCCAGTGTCACCCCTGCCATGGCAGGGACACCTCCCACTGTCCCAGTGTCCAGCCTGGCCTTGGGCACTGCCAGGGATCCAGGGGCAGCCCCAGCTGCTCTGGGCACCCTGTGCCAGGGCCTGCCCACCCTGCCAGGGAACAATTCCTGCCCCAAATCCCATCCAGCCCTGCCCTCTGGCACTGGCAGCCATTCCAGGATCCGGCAGTGTCTCCTCTCTCCTGCCCCAGCCGGGATCTCTGCCGGGGTTTCAGGGCAGGATGTGCTTCCACCAGAGCCCCCAGCCAGGGCCAGATGGGGCTGGGTGTCCCCTGTCCCCGAGTGTCCCCTGTCCCCGAGTGTCCCCTCCCCTGTCACCCTGCCCTGCAGTGTGTGGGTGACTCCCTGGTGTCCCTGCTCAGCTGGCTCGGGGACACACACACACACACACACACTGTTGTGTTCCTGTTGTGTTCCTGCTGTGTTCCTGTTGTTTTGTTCCTGTTGTTGTTGTTGTGTTCCTGTTGTTGTTGTTGTGTTCCTGTTGTTGTTGTTGTGTTCCTGTTGTGTTCCTGTTGTTCCTGTTGTGTTCCTGTTGTTGTTGTGTTCCTGTTGTTGTTGTGTTCCTGTTGTTGTTGTTGTGTTCCTGTTGTTGTTGTGTTCCTGTTGTTGTTGTTGTGTTCCTGTTGCTGTTGTTGTGTTCCTGTTGTGACAGGCCCCTCCCAGGCCCCCAGGCCGATTGAATTCCGGTCTCTGGCTGCTCCGGCTGTGCTGCTGCTGTTGCCGGGAGGGCAGAGGCTGTTCCCAGCCCTTTTCCATGGCCACCGGAACCCCCAGCCCTCCCTGCCTGTGGCCCCGCTGTCCCCTCAGTGTCACTGTCACCGAGCCAGCAGGCCCGGCTGTGGCCCTGCTATCCCCTCAGTGTCACTGTCACCGAGCCAGCAGGCCCGGCTGTGGCCCTGCTATCCCCTCAGTGTCACTGTCACCGAGCCAGCAGGCCCGGCTGTGGAGCCCTGCCCTGCTCAGAGCTTTCCCCCAGGGCTGTCCTGGAGTCCCTGGGGCACTGGGCTCTGATGTCCCTTCCCACCCAAAGAATTCCACAATTCCCGGTTCCCTGAGCTCCCAGGGTGGCTGGGAGAGCCCAGGCACCGAGTGTGGAAGGAGCAGAACATTGTCACATCACCTGGAACGGTGTTTTTAATTCTGTGTGAGCCCTCTCCAAACCTCTGCTGCTGTGGAACCCTCTGGATTCTCTCCAGAGAATCTCCTGACCCTCCTCCCATCCAAGCTCTGGCTTTGTTCTTCCCCTTTCCTCCCTCTCCTTTCCTCACACCTGGGGGTGCTCACCTGGAGAAGGATCCAGGGAGAGCTCAGAGCCCCTTGCAGGGCCCAAAGGGGCTCCAGGAGAGCTGGAGAGGGACTGGGGACAAGGGCTGGAGGGCCAGGAGCCAGGGAATGGCTGCCAGTGCCAGAGGGCAGGGCTGGATGGGATTTGGGGCAGGAATTGTTCCCTGCCAGGGTGGGCAGGCCCTGGCACAGGGTGCCCAGAGCAGCTGGGGCTGCCCCTGGATCCCTGGCAGTGCCCAAGGCCAGGCTGGACACTGGGGCTTGGAGCAGCCTGGCCAGGAGATGAACTTGAACTCTTTCCTTGTCAGCTGCCAGCTATTCCTAAAAGCAAACACCAAAGGATTATTGTTCTGAAAGCTGCAGGTTGTTTCCAGGAAAGCCAGCAGTTGCCAACAGGTATTCTGTAATTCCCTGTGCTGAGGAGAGCTGGCAGGAGCTGGGAGATGTTCTGGAAACAGCAGATGATGGGAAGGGTGGGAGGCTGGAGGAGAGCAGAGGGAGCTGCTGCAGACCCCACAGCAGAGCTGGAGGGCGGCGTCAGTCGGGGCTGGGGGAGGTTGGTGCCCTTTAAGCACAAAACTGCAGCATAAATCAGTGTGAGGTGTCTGCAGCTCCCCAAACCTGCTCTGATTCCTGCTCTCCCCTGAGTTCACTCTCCTTTCTGGAACTTCTCTCTCTCAGCCTCCTTTGGGCTGAATTCCCTTGGGATCCTCCCTCGTGGGGAGTCCCACTTACCTCACTCATTATTCGATAAAAACTCCCAGGTTCATTAAAATCCGTTTTCTGGTGTTTATTGAAGGATCCTTATAAAACTTGGCACAAGCCTAAATCACCACAGCCTGGCTCATCTCGTTCTGATGGTACAAAACAACCCCAAACCACGCAGTCTTTTCACCTTTATACCAATTTTTACCTTTATTAACTTCAGACACGTGTGTTGTTATTATATCTCTACAAATAAGTTTTCTATATCTACTCACGTGATTAAAAGTGTGACTAACTCTAAACCAATCACTTTTTGTGCTTCTAAAACCTGCAGAAGCATGGAGAAGGATTAAAAACTACACCCTTTCTCCTCCATCTTTACTCCCCGTGTGAAACCCTCTTAAAATCTGTATTTTCACCTCAGTGTCAAAAGAAACAATTTTCTACTTTCTATTTAATTTCTTACAAACTCTGCCTTGCTCAGGGATGTTTGGAAGCTTTTCTGTCAATATTATATATGATTGATGTATTTTTTAAAGAATTGTATAGACAGAGAAATGTCCCTGCATTTTTAGACTCCTACACTTTCTCAGCTGTTCCCGTGCTCTGGGCACTGGGATGGCTCCAGGGGTTAATCCAGCCAAGCTCTGGAGTTTGTGGATCCCAGCCCCATGGGTGCTGGTTGTGGGTCAGTGCCAGCTCCAGGGGCTGGGAGAGTCCGAGGTGTTCAACCTGGAAAGAAATGAAATGTGCGTTTTTAAACAAGCATCACAGCCACAGCTCACATCGCTCGTGGGGATAAGGGAAACACAAACCCTTGAAATTAAAATGTCACTTGTGTCCCGAGGTGGGAATGTGGGCTGGGAGTGGCTCCTGTGCTGCAGCAGGGTTTGCTGCTGGATTTCCCTGGGCTGCCCATGGATCCCCTGGAGCCTCAGGAACGGCACCGGGAAGCTTCTGGCACATTCTCCCTGTCCCTGTCCCCTGTCCTGTCCCTGTCCCTGTCCCTGTCCTGTCCTGTCCCTGTCCTGTCCTGTCCTGTCCCTGTCCCTGTCCCTGTCCTGTCCTGTCCCTGTCCCTGTCCTGTCCTGTCCCTGTCCTGTCCCTGTCCTGTCCCTCTCCCTCTCCCTGTCCCCTGTCCCTGCCCCTCTCCCTGTCCCCTGTCCCTGTCCCCTGTCCCATCCCCTGTCCCTGTCCCTGTCCTGTCCGTCCCTGTCCCTGTCCCTGAGGAGGAGGAGGAGGAGGGAGATCTCTGGGGGCAGCAGGAGCTGCCAGTGCCTGCAGGAGGATCCCCTCCCACCAGGGACATCTGGGGACACAGGGATGTGACCCAGGGACATCTCCTGGGGACACAGGGACATCTCCTGGGGACACAGGGCTGACTCTGGTTTGTTTTGCAGTGTCCTGGACAGCCCAGGGTGACTCTGGTTTGTTTTGCAGTGTCCTGGACAGCCCAGGGTGACTCTGGTTTGTTTTGCAGTGTCCTGGACAGCCCAGGGTGACTCTGGTTTGTTTTGCAGTGTCCTGGACAGCCCAGGGTGACTCTGGTTTGTTTTGCAGTGTCCTGGACAGCCCAGGGTGACTCTGGTTTGTTTTGCAGTGTCCTGGACAGCCCAGGGTGACTCTGGTTTGTTTTGCAGTGTCCTGGACAGCCCAGGGTGACTCTGGTTTGTTTTGCAGTGTCCTGGACAGCCCAGGGTGACTCTGGTTTGTTTTGCAGTGTCCTGGACAGCCCAGGGTGACTCTGGTTTGTTTTGCAGTGTCCTGGACAGCCCAGGGTGACTCTGGTTTGTTTTGCAGTGTCCTGGACAGCCCAGGCCGGCTGGACGAGGAGCACCGGCTCATCGCTCGCTACGCCGCGCGCTTGGCCGCCGAGGCTGGGAACGCTGTGAGTGACCCATCCCTGCCAGGCCCCGGGGCTTGGGGGGCACCACGGGGGGTGGGGACCCTAAACCTGCCTGGGGTCACCAATTTGTGTGTGTGCAATAGCACAGGCATCCAAACCTGCCTGGGGTCACCAATTTGTGTGTGTGCAGCCCCACGGGTTCCCTAAAACCTGCCTGGGGTCACCGATTTCTGTGTGTGCAGCCCCACAGGTCCCCAAACCACCCTCAGTTCCCCATTTGTGCCCCTGCAGTGTGCTGGCAGTGAGCTCAGGGCAGTGGGAATCAGATCAGCCCTGCTCAGGCTGCAGGAGATGAATGTGAGCACCACAAACCGTGGCAGAGTGCTGGGGGTGGCTTTGTTCCAGAGGGAAAGGTGGCTTTGTGTCTGCAGCTCCTTACAGGAGGAAATAAAGGAAAGCCCACACGTTTCCAGCTGCTAAAAGCCCTGACAGAACTACAGGAGCTCAGGGAGAGGTTCTGGGACCCCACAGAACATTTGCAGGCGAGCTGGACGGTGGCTCCCTGTCTTTATCCATAGGGAAGGAGAGGAGGGTTTGCAGGGATCATCTCCCACATTCCCCAATTTCCCTGGGGGCAGCCCAGACCCTGCCTTGGGCAGATCTGTGTGTAAAACCCTGATGAGATGGTGCTGCTGGAACATTTCCGACTGTCAGTCCCCACTCCCCGTGCCCAGGGCTGCAACTCCAGAGCTGCTCTGTGCTCCAGCAGGGCTGAGCCATCGAGGGGACACAGCACCGGGCTTGGGTTTAGGTGGAAGAGGAGGAAATTTCCATGCAATCCTGTAAAATCCAAGTGCTGAGTCACTGTCACGCTGGAAGGTGCTGGGAGAGCTCTTAGTCATGGCTTGACTTGTGCAGGTGGAGAACTTGGGGAGCTGCAGGTTCCAGAGGCAGGAATCAGCCCAGCCTGGTGTGGCCATGGCAGGGCCGGGGCTGGAGCAGCTCTGGGGCTCCAGGGAGCAGCAGCTGGAGTTTGCTGAGGCTCCTCAAGGACCTGGGGGCAATTCCTGCTCTTTCCCTAAGCCCCATCCAGGGCAGGTGCTGGAGCAGTGCCAGGGGCTGCTGTGGGGCACAGAGGGGAGGGACAGGGGGACAAGGGAGGGTTTCTGTTGTGGCCAGAGCTCGGCCATGGGGAGTCTGCAGTTCCTGACTGGCTCCACCATCTACCCCAGAAGTGCCAGCAGCTGGAACAGGAGGATTTCTCCCATTCTGGAGGGATCTCAGCTCTGAGGGCTTTGGTTCCTGGCAGCTCCTCTATTCCCTGCCAAGGACAGCTCTCCCTGCCTCGGCCAGGCCGGGCTCCGGGGCAGGGTGACACCCATGGGGACAAGGGTGTCTGTGGGGTGTGAAATGGCTTTTCTCACCACGATAATGGTCAGATGCTGTTGTCCAAGGTTTGGCCAGAGAACTGGGATCTCCCTCCTTGGAGAGGTTCAGAGCTCCACAAGACCAGTTCCTGAGCGTTTTCTGTGCCTTGGCCCTGCTCTGCATGGACTGGAAACGTCCCAGCTGCGATTTTCTGTGAATCTGGGCATTGGTGGAAGTGGGGAATGGGAAAAGAACATCAAAAAGACTTAAGGAATATTTGTCCAAGGAGGAGCAGTGTGTGCTGAGAGGGGTTGGTGTGAGCAGAATGGTTTCCTGAACGTGTGCTGGGACCTGTCGGTGGCTCAGGGTGGGCTCAGCCCGTCCGTGGCTGTGTCCTCCCAGAGGGGATAAGAGCCTGGAGCTGTTCCTGCAGGGCTGTGCTGCAGCACATGTCCCCTCCCCGCAGGAGTGACACCCCTGGCACCCGGCTGTGTCCCCTAAAGGAGCTCTGGCTGCTCTGCCCTTGTCCCCTGGAGCCAGAACCTCCCTGGGGAGGGAGTGGGAGCTGCTGGGGCAGTGCTGGTTCTGGATCAGTGCTGGTTCTGGAGTGGTGCTGGTTCTGGGGCAGTGCTGGTTCTGGATCAGTGCTGGTTCTGGATCAGTGCTGGTTCTGGGGCAGTGCTGGTTCTGGATCAGTGCTGGTTCTGGATCAGTGCTGGTTCTGGATCAGTGCTGGTTCTGGGGCAGTGCTGGTTCTGGATCAGTGCTGGTTCTGCTGGGGCGGTGCTGGTTCTGCTGGAGCACGGATAAATCCAGCAAACCCCCAGAGAACAATCCAAACTTTGATTCAATCACAGCTTCATCTGTTTGTCTCCCTCTGCTGCTCTGCTCGGCCTGAGCTGAGGAACAATCTCCTGTTCCCTCAGGTGCTGTGTCCTGACACAAGCAGGGCAGAGCTGCAGGATTCCCCCTGGCACACCCACAGAGGGCTTTTGTGTGCTTCAGGACATTTCCAGGAGAAAGGAACCCCTGTCAGCACCAGCTCTCCATTTCTGCCTCCTGCATCCCTCTGCCACCAGCTCCAGCTCTGCTCCCACAGCCTCAGGGTTTCTCCTTGAAAAGCCCAGCTCCATCCTGAGCCAGGTGTTCCTGGTGCTCCCCACAGCTCTGGGGGAGTGAGGCAGCCCCAGGGACGCCCAGGACTGTCCTGAGCTGTGCAGAACTGCAGGAGCAGCTGCTGAACAGGGGCTCTGATGATGAACACAGGTGATGAACACTCAGCTCTGGACCAGGGGATGGTGAGGGGAGGTTTGTGGAGGAGCCACAGCAGCCAGGTGTGACCCCACGCTGCTCTGGGCTGCTCCTCCCTCAGCACCGGGCACTGCTCACATCCCTTTGGCACCTCCCCAGTGCTGCCCACACCTAAAGAAAGGCTGGGACATTCCCTCCCTTCGGGTTTTAGGCGTGATTTGATAGAACATTTTAAAACAAAGACTGAGTGATCCAGGTCTCCTGTTAGATCCACCTGCACTTTGCTTCTTGGCTCCCTCCTCTCCTGCAGGAGGTTTCTGAGCCCTTGCTGTCCCTTGTTTCCTCTGCCTGCAGCCCCCAGGAGCTGTGGCACAGGGACACAGCTCCTCCTGGGATCTGGGATGTGCTGCCAGCACCCCCAGGCTTGGCCAGAGCCCCCCAAAGCAGGGCTGGGAGGGGCAGCGTGGCTCAGACTCATCCCTGGATGTGCTGTGGGAGCTCTGCTCCTGCTCTGGGGATCCTGGAATCCCCAATCTGTGAGCCTTGGTGTGGAGAGCAGCAAGGCTCACCCTTGAAGAGCTTCAGTGAGGGCCAGAAGGGGCAGGAGCCAGTCTGGGGGTGTTTGGTGAACCCCAGAGCCTCAACAACTCCCCCTGCACACCTCTCCTTGCTTTGCTCAATGCATATTCATGAAGGTCATACATATTCAAGCATTCCTTGGAGTTCTTTTACTCCTTCTGGGAATCCTGGAGCTTGCTTTGAGCCCTGACTGTTCATGCAGGAGTGTAGATTTGATTTTGGGGAGCTGTGTGTGCCATTTCCTCACAACAACAACAACCAGGGAATAACCAGGGAATGCAGTCCTTTGTGCCCCTTTTCTCTCCACGTCACCTGTGTGCTTCAGTATTGTCACCCAGTCATCCAGACAGCTTCAGCTGCTTCCACAAACTGATTGAGCTCTTCTCATAATTGTCAGAATTCTCAAAATTTCTGTTTGTAGTTACAAACAGAAAAACATCCTGCAAAAGTTACCATTATTAACTCTATTTCAATATTTTGCGTAAGCCTGAACTCTGATATACTGACCACACTCTGTCAAGAGCACTTAAACGTGATTACGAATTGTACAAGTTCAAAGTTGTGATGAATAATCATTTGCAAAGGTAAATACATGATAGTGGAAGCCAGTACAGTTTATGGAGTTATTGATAACAATTGGAGGTTCCAGGTGTGGCTCACTCAGGATTAATGGCCCTTGCTGGGGAATGCACTGCAGTGCTGGCAGCTCTCACTGCTCCTGTGGGGTGCTCAGGACACCTTTCAATTTAAGATAAAATTTCGATTTAAATCCATTCTATGACTTTCCTGCTGGGAGAGAGCTGGGCCTTGCAGAGGTTGAGTTGTTTGGGGTTTTTAGTGATTGTGGCTGATGCTGTTGGCTCCCAGGTGGAGCTGCAGGAGATGCTGGGGCAGGGATGGAGCAGGGGATGAATCCCTGGAGCTGCAGGGCAGGCAGGGAGCTGAACCCACACGGAATCACAGCCGAGGGTCCTGGCATGGGAATGCTGCCAGGGGAGGGAACAGACACACAGTTCCAGGACAGGATGGGACAGGATGGGACAGGATGGGACAGGACAGGAAGGGACAGGACAGGATGGGACAGGACAGGAAGGGACAGGAAGGGACAGGAGCTCCCCTCAGGACAAGCAGCACCCTGGGAATGTGGGGATGGATTCCATCCCTGTGTTTATGACAAGGATGGGATTCACCATCACAATCCCAGGAACCCCAAATTCTCCCAGGGTGAGGCCAGTGAGGATGAGGGTGGGAGGTGGCTGCAGTCTGTCCTGGCCTGGCAGGGCTGGAGCCCGTGTGGCACTTGGGGACATGGGCAGGGCACTTGGGGACATGGACAGGGCTGGAGCCCGTGTGGCACTTGGGGACATGGGCAGGGCACTTGGGGACATGGACAGGGCTGGAGCCCGTGTGGCACTTGGGGACATGGACAGGGCTGGAGTCCCTGTGATGGGACCCCTGGGGTTGGGACCCCTGGATGGGACCCCGGGCTGGGAGCTCTGGGGCTGACTCCAAACCCTGCATGCAGTGAGGGGTCGGTGTCACTGGTGTGTGTCACTGGTGTCACTGGTCGGTGTCACTGGTGGGGGTCACTGGTGTCACTGGTCGGTGTCACTGGTGGGGGTCACTGGTGTCACTGGTCGGTGTCACTGGTGGGGGTCACTGGTGTCACTGGTCGGTGTCACTGGTGGGGGTCACTGGTGTCACTGGTCGGTGTCACTGGTGGGGGTCACTGGTGTCACTGGTGTCACTGGTGTCACCATGTCCCTCTCTGTCCCTGCTGTCCCAGTGTCCCTCTCTGTCCCTCTGTGTCCCGGTGTCCCTGTGTCCCAGTGTCACCATGTCCCTCTGTGTCCCTGCTGTCCCTCTGTGTCCCGTTGTCCCCAGTGTCCCTGATGTCACCGTGTCCCTCTGTGTCCCTGCTGTCCCCGTGTCCCTCTGTGTCCCGGTGTCACCATGTCCCTCTGTGTCCCGGTGTCCCCAGTGTCCCTGATGTCACCATGTCCCTCTGTGTCCCGGTGTCCCCAGTGTCCCGGTGTCACCGTGTCCCTCTGTGTCCCGGTGTCCCCAGTGTCCCGGTGTCACCGTGTCCCTCTGTGTCCCGGGGGCCCCAGTGTCCCTGATGTCACCATGTCCCTCTGTGTCCCGGTGTCCCCAGTGTCCCGGTGTCACCATGTCCCTCTGTGTCCCGGTGTCCCCAGTGTCCCGGTGTCACCGTGTCCCTCTGTGTCCCGGTGTCCCCAGTGTCCCTGATGTCCCCGTGTCCCTCTGTGTCCCGGTGTCCCCAGTGTCCCTGATGTCACCGTGTCCCTCTGTGTCCCTGATGTCACCGTGTCCCTCTGTGCCCCGGTGTCACCAGTGTCCCTGATGTCACCGTGTCCCTCTGTCCCCAGCCCCGCCCGCCAGACCTGCCGTTCAGTTTCGATGCCAACCGGCAGCAGCGGCAGCTGATAGCGGAGCTGGAGAACAAGAACAGGTACGGAGCGGGTACAGCCCCTGCGGGCTCTCACTGACCACGTCCTTTCCACAGCTTCTGCTGGGCTGCACTTCCCTCATTAACTGATCAATTAGTCATTAACGCTAGTTAACTATCCTGGGGAGGGGCTGCCCTGCCCCTGTTCCCCAGGGAGGGGCTGATCTTCTCTAATCTTCAAATCATCTGCACCAGCACTGGGAGCTGGGCTCTGATCCCAGAAATCCCAGAAATCCCAGAAATCCCAGAAATCCCCAGTCCTGGCTGGGGGCCCCTGCCCCTGTGCTCAGGTGAGACCCCAGCCCTGGGGATCCCAACAGCACAAGGAGCTGGAGCTGCTGGAGAGAGCCCAGAGGAGCTGGGAGCTGCTCCAGGGCTGGAGCCCCTCTGCCATGGAGCCAGGCTGGGAGAGCTGGGGGTGCTCACCTGGAGAAGGATCCAGGGAGAGCTCAGAGCCCCTTGCAGGGCCCAAAGGGGCTCCAGGAGAGCTGGAGAGGGACTGGGGACAAGGGCTGGAGGGCCAGGAGCCAGGGAATGGCTGCCAGTGCCAGAGGGCAGGGCTGGATGGGATTTGGGGCAGGAATTGTTCCCTGGCAGGGTGGGCAGGCCCTGGCACAGGGTGCCCAGAGCAGCTGGGGCTGCCCCTGGATCCCTGGCAGTGCCCAAGGCCAGGCTGGACACTGGGACAGTGGGAGGTGTCCCTGCCATGGCAGGGGTGACACTGGAGGGGCTCTGGGGTCGGTCCCAAAGCCAAGCAGAGGATTTTTGTTGCTCCAGAGGATCAGCTGTGTCCATGGTGTCCCAGTGCCCAGCTGGCACCCAGAGCCTGCCCAGCCCTGTCCCCAGGCACCCTGAGCAGTGGGAAAAGGCTGCTCCAGGGAAGTTTGGAGCAGAACCAGTTCCTGGAGAGCAGGAACAGCTCGGCCCTGGCACTGCTGGAGTCTCAGTGCTCTAACAGGAGACCTTGCAGCTATTTGGGCCGGTTCCTGGAGATCCTGGATCTCCCGGAGCTGTCCCGGAGCTGTCCCGGAGCTGTCCCGGGCTGTCCCGGAGCTGTCCGAGCCCGTTCCGTGCCGGCCCTTGGGGACACGTGGCCCCGGGAGATGCGGCAGTGCCGCTCCGGGGCCGTGCTCCCGGTGTTCCCCAGGGGTGAGCCCAGCCCCGGGGCTGACCCTGTCCTCCCGTTCCCTTCCCGGCCAGGGAGATCCTGCAGGAGATCCAGCGGCTGCGGCTGGAGCACGAGCAGGCCTCGCAGCCCACGCCAGAGAAGGCGCAGCAGAACCCAACACTGCTGGCTGAGCTGCGGCTGCTGCGGTGAGCGGCACTGGGGCTACTGGGATGGGCTACTGGGATGGGCTGTGGGGCTACTGGGGCTCCTGGGATGGGGGGTGGGGCTCCTGGGATGGGCTGTGGGGCTACTGGGATGGGCTGTGGGGCTACTGGGGCTCC